AGGAGATAAACATTAATTCTACAAGATTTTAACTACATTATCTGAAAATGTATCTGGGACTTCCCCTGTTAATTGCAAGGACTATTGATAATTAACAGAGAGACCCTAGGGGCCTCTTCTTGGTATCTGCTAGGCAGAAGTCACTCAATGCAGAAATCACAAGTTTAACACACATTCTATATAAGGTGACATTAAAATGAATATACCAGATTGAACTTTCCTGCCCTAACACGTTACTTTAATACTTCAAATAACTCAAATAACACTTCAATAGCACTTTTCAACACAAGGCAATTCAAAGTGCTTTACAAAAAATGAAAGACATTTAGAAAATGGCATTTGAAATCAGTCATTAAAAAGAAAAGCTAATGAAATAAACATTTAAAGAAAAAATACATGGATAAAAGTTACAGTGCAGTCTATGATATGAATAGTTCAATTAAAAGCAGCGACAAAAAGGAAAGTCCTCAGCCTGGATTTAAAAGTAGTAAGAGTTTTAGCGGACCTGCAAGTTTCTGGGAGTTTGTTCCAGATATTTGGAGCATAATAACTGAACGCTGCTTTACCATGTTTAGTTCTGACTCTGGGGACAGAAAGCTGACCAGTCCCTGAAGACCTGAGAGATCTGGATGGTTCATCATTTAGCAGGAGGTCAGAAATGTATTGTATGTAATTGTAACCGAGTATTCCTACACTCTGGTACTTTTACTCAAGTACAAGATCTGAACTTTTCCCACCTCTGACAATAAATCCTAAGTGGTTACCAAAAAATAAACCCTGNCAGGATGTCATTACATGCCATGTGTCTTCGCCTGACAAAGACAGGCTTGTTATTTGTGGGAGTCCCAAACTGACACGCGGAATAGATTTAAAAAGAAAGAAATAATATAATAATATAATATAATATTAATTAATATTATAAATAGGAAACAGTGAAATACAATATAAATGAATACTATTTAAGTATGACACATTTATGTACTGATTTTTTATTTTTTGACTCTGTAGGGCTAATTTGTTTGTCAGCTATATCTCATTTACTTTCCCTATTCATTTATTTTTTCATATTTTTGCCATTTATTTATTTACACATTCACTTTTTAACTTATTCCGCCATTTGACCTTTTTATATTTTATGTACTTGTGCACATTAATGTGTTTTTTATTTCTTTTTTTTAATGTATTGTACAATTAAAAATTACTATATTCTGCGCTTACTTTAGCACACTTTTATAAGGCAAACTAGAATTAAGTAATCTTATGAAATGTGTAGATAAATGAGTATCTTTCAGGACTTGTATGGTTGTCATTATGTTTAATGTTTTATGACCTTAGTATTTTTTCATTAAAAAAGAAATTCTTTAAAACTCCAAACAATGTGTTTATTATTTTTAAGGATTTAATAATGACACATGTTAAGATCCTGAAGACCACAACTGAACATAAATTTATGCTAGTTTCTTTGTTTAACTCTAGTCTCATCTAATGCCAAATGTAACTCCACATATACAAACAAGGAATCGGCAGAGGAAGGGTTAAAACATTTGAGTAATAAACAAGCATCAATCTTTTGTTAACATCCAGTATTATTTGAGATTTGGATATTTAAAATTTCTAGAGATACACCATTCATCACTAGAAGAACTGGCAACAGGGCTGTGGTATTAAGTAGCTACGTTTCATTCAGTGGCACAAACACTAGAGATTTACAAAAACAACTGTGTATTATTGCCTGCCACGGCAAACAAAAACGAATTACAAGGTTGATCTGTTTCACAACCCACAGTAGCATCGTATGTCTGCACGCTTTTACCCACAAATGGGTTAAACATTTACTTTAACAAGAGCAAAACAAAGATTCACATTGACCAGTTTTCTCTTGTTTAGTTAGTGTTATGCTACTTCATTAAGACCGACGGTCAGGTTGCCAACAAAACGGATAATAACCTTTTGGCATTGGATGATTGGTCTGGGTTTCTTCCAAGCTTGTTGTGACTCGTCCCTATTGTAATTGTTTTTCATCACCTCCTCTTTGAGTCAATAGGGATGATGATAACACTAACGCTCTTTCAATTCCAGATCAAGGTTACAAATAACCTTTGAATCAGGTCTACACTGTTGGAATGGATTGATCTGTTAGGCGAAACCAGGGTATACATCTCACTTTAGATAGCAAAACACTTCAAGGCAGTTTACACGTTTTACAAAATCCGTTATCCTATGCAGTTCACCTGTTAATACTTATTTTTAAATGATTTGTCTTTGTCAATAAATTATTTCCCTTATATCTTTTACTATCTTATATAGAGGTTCGAAAGGGTAAAATGCCAATTTAGAAATACAAAACGATGTAGGTTAGAGTTATCCTAAAAATAAGCTCATATTTGAATTCCCCTTAAAAAAACACATCATTCAGTAAAAACAAGGCCCCACTGATCATCTACTCTCTGAGACGATTCCAGGGATGCCTGACTTGATTTTCTAGCACCGGGGAAAGTGGACAAAAGTGCCCAAGATCAGCCTCTTAATTTACCCAGGGCTTCGTGCTTGGCTTTGGGCATGAAAATTCAGGAAACTCCCCTGAGTATTTTATTAAATATCTGAACTTTGGAGAGGAGTTGGGGGACACACGACACATCAAATCACATCTACAGACCAAGACGAAGCGAATGGAAGGACTCCCATACTCCTAGCGTGTGAAAATGTTTGTGATAAACGTGTGCAAAGTCTCCAAAAACGGAGCCGTGGCTGTGATGCTAGCTTTGCGGCTAGCGGTTAGTTGTTATTTTTTATGTTTGAATGTTAAAAAATAACAATCAACAGTGTAAACATAATTATGTAAATAACCCAATTTGTGTTCTGTGAAACGAAAAAGGATTTTACATTGTTTTTGTTACTTTCGTTGCAGTGTCTTAAATGTAATTTAGGTTAACTTCCTGTTTGAAGTTGTTGCTATGGAAACAACATGACGGAGAAAAAAGTAATATCTTCTTCATATAATAACGGAAAAAGTAAAACACAACGCGTGACGTCATTGGTAAGCGACGGATATGACCCCGAGCAGATATGGTACCCCGAGCAGATATGGTACCTACACCGGTGTATACACTTCATTCTTTACTTAGTCCGAATATTGGGGGGGCGGGGGGGGGACACACCAGAGCCCAGTCTGCTCTGATTGGCTATACAACACGGTATCGGTATATTCACTGCATTCATTTTGTTATTCTACAGTATTGTTGTTTTATAGTTATTTGTTAATGTATACAACCCAATTTGTGTTCTTTTAAATTGAAAAGGATATCGCATTGTGTTTGTTACTTTTGTTGCAGTTGTATATACATGTCTTAAGTGGAATTTGGCTTGTCTTCCTATTTATGGACATGCTTTTATTTTGAAGGAGAGGTAGCGCTGTTGACAGGAAGTTGTTGTTGCTATGGAAACAACGTGACAGAGATTAACGGAGAAAAGTATTATCTACATATAAAGAGGGAGAAAGTAAACAATAACGTTTATGGTTGAATGTTAGCACCTCCCAAAGAGGCACAAGCTCTTACGTTGATATTGGAAATTTCAATAAATTCAATTTGAAAAAAAAAACGGGGAAAAAACAAACAAAACGAATATCCGAATAGTAGTCCAACGAACTAATATTCTGATATTTGGGTACAGCCCTAGTATGTATAAATAAATACTAGTGACAGTGACGTGAGCAGTTATGTGGAGAAAACAACCCAGATGCTTCGCTGTCGTTTCCTGAATGATAACAGCCGGTTGTGACCCGTTATCCCCGGTATACCGGTATACCCTAGTCAGCGCCCCTAGTTACACCAATCAGCGTGCGATTACCGTACAGCCAATCACAATGCGTGACGTCATTGGTAAGCGATGGACCCCGAACACATATGGTACTGACACCGGCACCGCCCTTAATTTTTTTAAACGGCATCATGTAAGTTGCGCTGACAGGCGACAGAGGTCCACAGTTGCGCCGCAGCGAGGCTCCCCCGCCCTCCCGTAGACAGTTCACGAGCTCATTCACCAAAGATGGATCGCGGTAAACGCTCTAAAGTGAGGCTCCACTACACTAAAAAATAAAAAGACAAGGCACAATGCAATGCCTGTTAATAGCTTGCCACAGGCATAGCTCAGTTAAAATAAAGCATAGCTATTGTGCAATACATTTGTATTGCATGTATATTCTGTATTTGTAAAAATTTCAGTTAAAGCTTAAAATAATAAAGATATTTCTGTTATCTAAACGTTTGACCTCTTTCTTTTACAATTTTGGAATCGAAACGGGGAATCAATTAGCAGAACCGGAATCGGAATCGATACATTTCAAACGATACCCATCCCTAGTAGACAGACATAAAGGCTTGACAGAGTTGAGTGTATGGAATAAGTAAAAAAAATAGGAAGCTATTCAGTAAAAGTTTTCAATCAATGAATGCAAACTAAAAAAGAAACATTATAGAAAGGATCTGCAGTAGCTAAGTAGCTGGACACAATGAAAAAGAGAAATCAGAGATGTTGTCAGTCTGTGATTGGTGCAGGTGTCAGACAGAATATGAATAATGAGAAGTCTCATCTTTTCGCAAAACCTGTGCAATCCCCTCTGACAGTGTGACGACAGCCCAGGCTTTGATCTGACAACTGTCACTGCGTATGCTGCAACCAGACATGTCTGAGGGTTCAATGACATGCTGTCCTCTTAACACTTCTTGATCATCTGATCTGATGTCTTCCTGTTCTGTTTCAGCACAAGAATAATGGTCTGTGATTGAGTAGGGGCCGTCTTCTGTGTCTTACCGTGAGGAGGATGATGCTCGGGGGCTTCATTGGATACTCTGGGGGAAGCACAATCCTGCCGTGGTAAACCCCGCCATCGAAATCAGAATCTGGGGGCCCACGTACGGAGAAGTGCCATTCGAAGAGGTTATCCTGCAAAAAAGAGAGAAATATCACACAGAGCCGACATGTTCCTCCTGAGGGACCAAACCTGTGAATTCTTAGATCTGAAGTGACAACACTGACAGTGTGTGTTACCAGCTGTTTGTTGTTATAACAATTTGTTTTACGACTGGGCATTATCCAACCTAAAGATAGTCAAAATGTATTTCTATATAAAAAAAAATCACTATATCTTATATTATGACAGTAACTATAAATCTAACTTTTTTTCTTTAAAGAGGACATATTATGCTCATTTTCAGGTTCATATTAGTATTTAGTGTCTCTACTGGGATATGTCTCCACACTTTAATGTTCAAAAAGCTCTTTATTTGTCTCACACTGCCTGTGCTGCAGCACCTCTTTTCACCCTCTGTCTGACACCAGAGCCCAGTCTGCTCTGATTGGTTAGCTGACTAGCTCTGAGATGTGTCCAAAATCTCCCGCCCCTTAGCCCTATCACGTATTGGAGCGATAACCAATACAAGCACAAGTGTTACATAGTGATGTCATTATGTTACAGTAGCAAACAAGGGAGCCCAATGGAGGCATTTCAGGCAGGGGGGGATTTTTGCAGACCATGTACATGCACAAAACCCCTACAGGATTGGGAAAATCCTAAAAAGCTATATAGGGCCTCTTTAAGTAAAGGTTTCAAGTTGATTTATTGTCATTCAACAACAGATTTGAAAAGACGAAATGTTGTAGTCACAAAAATATATGGTAGTCTGGTGTTTGACAGATACTTCAGTATCACTTGCCAGACAGCTGTAGGGGGAACAAGCTTTTGCTGTGGTTGGTATTGTAAAATATATTTTTGTTCGGAGTCGTGGGTGTACAATGTGAGCAGGAGTATGTCGCCGCCAATCTAAACTGCCTGGGGTCTGTTTGTAAAGCAGTCTAATATCCAGTGTGAAACTGAAGCCCAGAGTGCAGAGTTTACAAATCATGGGGGAGATTGTGTTGAATGCTGAGCTGAAATCCACAAACAGCATTCTGATGTAGGTGTTGTTATCTTCCAGATGTGTGAGGGCTGAGTGGAGGACAGTGGAGGCAGCATCCTCTGTAGATCTGTTTGTTCTGTGTGAAAACTGGCTGGCAGGGATGTTGTTTTTGATGTGCTGGAGAACCAGTTTCTGAAAGGACTTTGAGAAACACATCACTATGGGGATGAGAGCTGTAGTTGTTTTGATGAGACTTGGGTTACAGGGATGATAGTGCATGTCCGGAAGCAAGTAGGATCTTCAGTGAAATATGTGGAATATGTCTGAGAGGAGATCAGTAAGCTGGTTGGCACAGGTTATTAGTACACGACGGGTGATGGGGTGGCTGATGTGCAAATCAGATCAGCTCACATCCGCTGTTGATCCTGACAGTGGCCGGTCCTCTGGAGGAGGGACAGACTTGTTTGCTGCCTCTTCGTTAAGGAGATCAAATTGAGCATAAAAAGTGCTAAGCTCATCTGTGATATTTGTCCTCACACAGGATGGAGACACTACTGCATTGAACCATGTGATATTTGGTGATTCAAAGGAAAAAACTATTTGAATCCAAACGGTTAATGTGAATATCCTCTGTGGCACTCAAAGCTGTTAAGAGTTTGCAGGTACAATACCAGTCAAAAGACACACCTTCTCATTCAATGGTTTTGTTTTATTTTAATGTTGTGCTACTTTGTAGATTAATACTGAAGACAACAAAATTATGAAAGAAGACTTAGTTAATAGACATGCGTTAATAACGCGTTAACGCAAAACATTTTTAACGCCACTAATTATTTTAACACGATTAACGCCGTCTATTTTTTTCCTCGGCCGCCACGTAGTTTCAGAGCGCATCGAGTTTAAAATACCATCTACAAGCTGATGCTGACAGCCCCGCTCCTGCCGCCCGCTTATGGCAGACCACCACACTTCCACGTTCACCGGCAGGCTATTGGGAGGACCTGGGGGGTATACTACGAAGCAGGATTTTCGCTTAGCCGGCTAACTTCAGGGAAAACTCGGGGTTTCCGGTCCTACAAAGCTGGTTCTCTTTTTAGCAGGCTAGATCTCCATTGTAACTTATGCTGTGCGGCTAACCTGCCCCGGAGCAGGTTAGGTTGCAGGCTAAGAGCTCAACTCACTGAAAGCACTGCCTGCTGACCAATCAGAGCTCAGTGTGCGGAGTTTAAAGCGATCAAGTCACATTACAGGAGAAAGGAAATACAGAAAAGCTGCCATTGCAGGAAAGACGGCCGGCAAAAATCACCGACTCTGTGAACGTGAACATTAATAGAATATCACCTCCNCAAGCGGGCGGCAGGAGCGGGGCTGTCAGCATCAGCTTGGAGATGGTTTTTTAAACTCGATGCGCTCTGAAACTACGGGGCAGTCGAGGACAAAAAATACACATGCGTTAATCGCGTTAAAATAATTAGTGCCGTTTTTTCATTAACGCGTTAACTTGACTTAATAAATATGCAAGTTGCAACACACACACAGAGTAAAACTCTGGCCCTTATGTGTTGTATAGGCTGGCATGATTGGGCTGTTCAATGGGGCTGATGTGTTGTGTAGATTCTGCCTGAAGGAAAATCACGGTCAAACTCCTTATGAAGCGGTGAGCTGCCGCTTCACATTGCTTTTCTTCCCGACTGCAACGCTGGTCCCGCAAATCAAGCAAGAACGTGATTGGTCGATATTCATTGTGGGGGCTGGGGGGAGGAGGGGTCTTAGATATATAGAGTTGTAGTAAGTAGATAGAGTTCGCTATGATTGAGGTTTCGTTTATGCATCGGGTAGATTCTTTAATTACATTTACTTTTTTGTTTTGTGTATTTTTTACATTTTGGATTTGCTTGGCGAGCTTTTTTTTTTTAAATGCCCCGTGGGCGACTCACGTTGTCCCTGCGGGCGACTCACATTGTGCCCGCACTTAGTCCCGGGCACTTAGTTGCGGGCAAGGTTTGCGTACATCTAAATCAGGGGTGTTGGCTACCCCTGATTTAGATGTACACAAACCTTTATAAGTCACTACAGGCAGTGTTCTAACGTTCTACAAAGTAACGTGTTACAGTAATCAGATTACATTTGTCTGTAATGCCTTATTGTTGGTTCAGCAGTAATTATATAGGATAGGATGAAACCCTCTTTAATGGTCACACATGCACACACAATGAAATGGTAATTATATAATTACAGAGCCTGTCAATTTATACATTGACGAAAACAATGTGACTGTTAACCAAAGTGTATCTAATAATGTACTATCTATTTTTAAATATCAGAGAGGAAGAACAGAATGAGAAGGGAAAAACTTGAATAAAGATAAAGAAGCAAAGAGATTGTACAATAGTGAGAAAGAGACGGAAAGGAAGAAAGAGAAGACAAGTTAAGAAAACTGAGAAAGTTTGGAGGGGAAGAAAAAGTGAACAGTACGAAGAGTATAAAAGGATAGTGACAAAGAGCAGAAGAAAATGTGCAATGGCTCTTTCCAAGAAACGAAAATGTCACTTAAATGACATTATAATGAAAGAATTTTCCTTCATATGCCCAGGTGGTCAAGATGATAAAATGGTTACTGTACCATTTGTAATTCAAAATGTTCAGTTGCCAGTGGAGGAAGGACAGCAGTAATAGAACATCAACAGACAAAAAAGCATAAAGCCTCTCTCATTGCCCGTGCTGGTGTGCCCTCTGTCACCACATTCTTCAAGAAGGTAGACCCTTCACAGGAAGAATACGATCTAGCTGTGCAGGAAGGTGTCTTTGCATACCACACTTTGCGACACAATCATAGTTTCAGATCTATGGATTGCACAGCACAACTGACAAGGAAGCTTTATTAATCTAAATGTACATGTGCTAGGACTAAATATGATGCCATAGTGAGTAACGTGTTAGCACCATGGGCAACTACCTTGGTAACACAGGACCGACCAGGTGGAATTTGTGTCTCCGTCCATTGATGCATCCAATCATGGACATGTCAAGCTGCTGCCAATATTAGTAAGATATTGTAAGATAAATAATAGCACATCAGTGGAAACAAAACTACTCGATTTTGTTGAACTCAAAGGAGAAACAGCAGAGGAAATTGCAGCTGAGGTCCTGGTGGTTATCCAAAAATTAAAAAAACAGTTTGATCTCTTTGTCCCAGTGTATCTGACAGTTGTGTCTCTCTGTTGAAGTGTCTTTGATAGTATGCAATTCTGCTAGTGTTACTAGTCTGTTGTCTCTATATCTTGTACATATGTTAATTATCAAATAAACTTGAGTCTATAACCTGTGTAGTTTGAAAATGTTTTGTTATTAACTATGGAACACTCAATAAGTGAGTTAATAATACTTTACTCTAACTTCACTTACCATAGGATATTGAAATCAGATTTTCGAAAGATTTCATTATTAGTAGTGCATTATGGTAATTGTTGTACACAGTTGTATCAGTATGCTTCTACACATCAGTTTATTACAGCACACGTTACATTTGTTCGAATTACATTGACGATTGTCCCCTTTTTTCTTTACAGGCGGAAGAAATGGTGGCAGTATGTTAATGAGATTTTGACCAAAACTCAAAATGTCCCCCCCCCCCCCCCCCGGTTTCATTGAAAATCGGTCACCTTACTTAATTATCTCTGTACCCAAACTGAAATTGATGTAAACAATTTGGAACTGCGTTTCTTCCCATCAAGAAATAGTGACCTAATCCCCTGTAAACTTTTTATTTATGTTTATCCTTTTTTGTATGGATTTAAAAAAAAACAAATGATTCAGCTGGCTGATAGGTGGATGTGTTACCTTTGACAGGCTGGCTTTGTCTTCCCCGTCAGTCCTTATGCTAAGCTAAGTAACAGTGANACACATACACACACCCTCCCGAGGCCTGTACTACGAAGCTGGTTCAACCTAACCTGGAAATGTTTGAGCGCGTATGTTTTGGATTAGGCCAACCGGCTAACTCAAACATTTCCAGGTTAGGTTGAACCAGCTTCGTAGTACAGGCCTCGGGAGGGTGTGTGTATGTGTGGCGCGAGAGAGAGACCTTACGTGTATTGTTGTTGTTGTTGTTGTTGTTGTTAGCATCTGGTGCTAGCTAGCTGCACTAACGGATATAAGGAGCTGTTTATATGAAAACAGAGGAGCGACATTTCGCCACAACTGCGCCGAGCACTTGACTTTATGCAGGTAGCCAGACAGTGGGACATTGTACGAAAAGTCAGCACACTCAGCACGGATAGTGCGCGCAACATGATTGCAGCGTCCAGGCAGCTCCCGTTCGAGCATATTCCTTGAGTTGCACATAGCTCCAACGATCCATAACACACACACGCACGCACGCACGCACACACCATTTGTATTGTATTATTGTATGAGAGAGGTTCCAGATTGAATTGAGGCGAATATTTGTAATGTTCAAATGATAATAAACATTTGCATAAAGCATATTTGTCCACTCATATGTTGATAAGATTATTAAAAACTTGAAAAATATTCCTCTGAGGAAAATTTAGAACAGATAAAAAATGTGCGATTAATCGTGATTAACTATGGACAATCATGCGATTAATCGCGATTAAATATTTTAATCGACTGACAGCCCTAATATATAATAGATATAGGAATATATAACCATATATAACCAGGGCGGTTCTAGGGGGGGCACAGGGGGCCCCCGGTGGCCCTCCTAGAACAGCCCCTGCCTCCGGTAACATGGGTCTAGAACCGCTCAGCATATATATATAATAGTATAATAGGTATATAAAGGTATATAAAGGTATATAAAGGTGTTTCTGACCCCTATCGATCAGCCGGTCGATGAACGGGTCTCTTGCTGTTGTTGTTTACAGATAGATAGATGTAGATAGATATATATAGAGGCTATATATATATATATATAAAGGTATATAATAGTATACATAAAGGTGTTTCTGACCCCTATCGATCAGCCGGTCGATGTCCGGGTCTCTTCCCGCGCAGAAGCATTTCCTCCACAGTCCGGAGTGCGCGGGAAACAGCGGCCTCCCGCACGCGGTCTCGAGGATGCCCATCCCGAGGATCGCTCGCCAGTTCTCCAGCAGCTCGTCCTCGCGGCTGCCCACGTGCACGGGCTTGCTGCGCGCGCGCGTCCCCCCCCCGTACTCCAGCAGCGGCAGGTGGTAGATCGGCATGTCGCGGTTCTGCTGGTCAGAGGACTCGGTTCCGGTCCGGTCGCAGTTCTCTTTGTGGCGGTGCGTGTCGGTCTCATACCAGTGGTCCGTGCACAGCGCGAGGAGCAGCAGCAGCAGCGCGAGCGCACCGGACACCGTCACCGCCACCGGCAGCAGCCTCTGCATGCACCCGGTCCTGGTGCTGCTGCTGGACCCCTTACTGGGCCCGGTGCTAGGCCCGGTGGTCCCGGTGCTGCTGGACCCCTTACTGGGCCCGGTGCTAGGCCCGGTAGTCCCGGTGCTGCTGGTCCCGGTGCTACTGGATGCCTTACTGGTCCCTGTGGTCCCGGTGCTGCTGGACCCAGTCCCGGTGCTGCTGGACCCAGTCCCGGTCTCAGTCCCGTCACTGGGCATCTTCTCCTCCCATCTTCCCCTCTCTGTTCCCCGGCTCTCTTCGGGAGCACGTTGTCATGCCGACTGAGAGGCTGCGTCAAGTGACGTTATGCACCGGAAGCTCACTGAGGCAGCCTTCAAAATAAAACTCCTCTACCTGCACACACCGGACACACACACACACACACACACACACACACACACACACACACACACACACACACACACACACAGGTACAGTAGGGGGCGTGTCCTTGGGACTTGGGGCCTCATGGGAAATCTCAGGTGACTCAGAGTGAAAACACGACGGCAGAAAAATGAAAGTTTGTCCATTAAGCTGATCAATAATTCAGAGCTGCTGCTGTAACACGACCCCCGAGTATACGCATCTCAATATACAGTATATATATATATATACAGTATATATATACTGTATACATACATATATATATACATATACA